CTTACAGCATCCTTTTCTTTGAAGTGGGGCGATTGGCTGTGTAGAATTATTTTCCTTTATGATTTATGCACAGAGAACAGAAAGTATGGGGAAAGAAATCCCTTGAGGATCAAAGACATGTGGACAGTCTCCAGTAAGAAAGGAACTACTAACTCCCCCCATCTATGGCATATCCATATTTCTGTAAGGGCTGCAGGACAGAGACTTCTAGGCTCCCAGTCACCCATATGCAAAAAACAAACAAACAATTAGCTACCAGCTCTTTGAAGCTTGGTATACATTTTTACCTCTATACCTAAACATTTAATACTGTCACCCAATTATCTGTAATCTTTTTTCATATTGCACATTTTTATCCTGGCGTTCTTCCAGGGAGCTCAAGATGACATACATAATTTCCCCCTCCTCCAGTTTATCTTCACAACCACTCTGTGAAGTAGGTTAGGCTGAAAGAGAACAACTATCATGTCTGAGTGGCAGTTTGAACCCATGTCCCCCCTGTCCTAGTCCAACATACTAACTGTTGAAGCACCCTGGTTCTCATAGACATTTCTCAGATTACACGTCCCAGATCAAAAACACACACTCCAGAAAAGGAAATATTTATGTGGAAGGCTCATACTAACAGTGAGAGCAGAAGTTCAAGAGGAAGACACAAAATGGGAAAAGTCAACTCTTAAAGGGACGTGGTGGGGGCACAGACAACATTTCACAGAGTTTCATGATAAATAAGTATCTGAATGAGCTAGATCGCTTTCAAGGGACATGATACTTTGGCTTGAATTTACAACCACTCAGCGCAACAAAAAAATCTTACAGCACCACCAAAATTAGCTTCCCTACTAGACGGTTGGAAGGCAGCCAGTATTACATCAACTTTTTTAGAAGGAATCCAGTACTGACCTATTAGCTTAACGGCAGCCCTGGTATATTGGTGGAAATCTTTATAAGGGCTAGGGCTGTTAAATGCATAGGAGGAGGAAAACTCAGCAGAACGTCTGCAAAGATCGGTTTTGCCTCAACAGAATTGACTATCAGTGTGAAATACGTCAACAGGGTGATCTGCTTGATATTATATGCTTGGACCTCCCACAAGCTTCTGACAAAATTTAAAAACTGATAACAAAACTGAGCAGTCATGAGATGAGGACCTGTCCCCTTTTGGACAGGTTAAGTGGCAGGAAGCAGTCAGAAATAAACTGACACTTTTCTCAATGGAGAGAAGGAAATTATTCTTCACACTTGGATCTGTACCCAAAAAGGGTGTTAATTTAACCTATTCATAAATTATCTGGAGTCAGAATGAACAACAAGGGAGGTGGCTTGCAGAAGATATCACATTATTCAGGAATAACAACATCCAGGGAATAAAGATTTAAAATAAAACAGCAAAATATCATGTAATTATACACATTTATGGTGGCGCAAGAACACTAAATGCTGTGCATAGTTCAGGTTACTCCCTCTCAAAAATATGGAGCTGGAGAAGGCAGATAAAAAGCATGTGTAGGAAGGTTAAAGATATTGTGGTAGGAAGGTTAAAGATATTGTGGCTCACAGGATGAACACGGGCCAGGTACTCTTTCAGACTAACCTACCTCACAGGGTTGCTGAGAGCAATAAAACAGAGCAGGGGAGAACTGTTATCTGCCCTGAGTCCCTTGAAGAAGAGGAAGAATAAAAATAAGATTGACAGGGAAGATATAACAGAGAGTTATCAAATTACAAACAGGGGGAATAAACAGACATTTCTGTTCCTCTCATGACAGGACTCTGGGTCAGTTAATGCAACTTGATTTGGAAGAGGTTCAGGTCAGAATTGCCACACAATGTGATCACAGTAACTAATTCAGATGGCTTTAACAAGGAATTAGACAGCTCTGTGGAGGACAGATCTCTGAACCTGGAGAGCTTTTTGGAACCTCTGCGTTCAGAAGCTTCTGCATATCCATCCTGCTTTTGAACTTCTAGAATCACTGGCCAAGTTACAGTTGAAGACTGATTAAAGAGACCTTGATCTGACCTCACAGGGCAACTGTACATCAGCCCTTTTATTTATGCCACCTTCCACCTAAATAGGTTCCCCAACAGTAAACACTGTAAATGTTGTTAACATTTAATGCTTTGAAGTATATATACATAAAGTAATTCAATTAAAAACATCTAAACACATATAATACTAAAAACCAGGAAGGAGGCCAATAACCGTTATTATGGGTATGCCAAACAGAATAAAAATGGTCTTCGCCCACTGGCAGAAGACAATGACAAATCTGTCTAGAGAGGAAATTCCAAAGTTTTGGCACCACAACTGAGAAGAACCTCTCTCAGGTTGCCACCCATCTAGGCTCAGATGGCAGCGGCACCCGAAACGAGGCATCCAAAGATCACTGAAGTGGATGGGAAAGTTCATATGGGAGAAGGAAGTCCTTAAGGTATGCTGGCCCCAAGCCATATAGGCAGTGATGGCGAACCTTTTAGAGACCGAGTGCCCAAACTGCGACTGAAAACCCACTTATTTATTGCAAAGTGCTAACACAGCAATTCAACCTGAATACTGAGGTTTTACTTTAGAAAAAACAACTCATACATTAACTTAAGATGATCCAAACAAAGTAAGGAAAGCAATCCCAAATGCTTTCATTTACTTAAAATTATTTGGCAGAGAATTCGACAGTTTAATGAAGGTCTGGGCCTGGTTGGGGCGATGGCACGCGTGCCCACAGAGAGGGCTCTGAGTGCCA